CTGCTTGGTAAGCGACAGTTGGGGAGATCTTCAAGCCACATGGTAAAAAATGTGTCAGAAAAGATCTCCTACTGCACCTTTAACTGGTGACCTAACACATTTTATTTCTCTTGACAATATCTTGACAATCAAGGCAACAAAAATAGTTCCTATACTGAAACATAATAAGCGAGCATAGAAAATGAAATAAACATTTTTCTAGTTTTTAGTCATAAAAAAAATGTTTTGTCTGTAGGACCATTGATATAAGCAGATTAAGGAACTCAAAGCTGTGAATTGCATTTGACAGTCCCGTAATTAAAAAAAAAGACCATTGTATACTTTTCTGAGGGTTTAATAGCTAGGTAATTGATAAAAATGTGTGTTTAGCTTTCAAGGAAAATGACTATAAATATCTATTTAAAAAATCTGTCAAAAGTAAAAGACAATAAAGAGAAAGCATTGTGGTGTTTTTGTGTGATTATTAAGTCAGACATGGTAAAGTTTAAATCTCAAATAAAAGCCTGAGATAAAACTTACAAAGCTTAAATATAGCTGCTTTAGAATGAAGCGGTTAAAAATCGCTCAGCAAAATTAAAAAAGTTATTACTAATCTCTTTAACTCAAACCATAACTTAGATTTACTTATAGAAACATAGTGAGCTGAATTGTAGTCCTGGATATTTTCTCTCAGCAAAGGGGTTGAAAAAAATCCCAGACAATTGAAATTGTTTGAGTAAAGAATGGATTCATTGAGACAATAAGTGTCGGTCTGTATTTTTACCACACAGTTTCAAAGGCAGTGGGGGTCATTCGGTTGGTTTCCTTTTAAATGTCACAGATCTTTGATTGATTGAATTACTGAAGTTAGTCCCTAGTAGGCTGAAAATCCCACGAGATTTTACAACCTCTGAGCAGTCTCCCGCTTACTGAGTGCCCCTGTGTGAACCTCCCTGAGCATGTAGACTGATATAAACATGCTCAAACAGGAAGCCACCTGAATGAGACCTTTTCCTTGAGTCCATCACAGTATTGCGACTGCTAAATAAACAGTTTTTCATGTAGGTTATTTCAATATCGCAGAGCAGATGTTATTTTATTGCTCTTTTATGGAAAAGGTTGTTGTTTTTCTCTCATATGCAAGATCTAGAAGTGAGTGATAAATCAGCTTTATCTTCTTTTTTGATCCGTCTTATTTATGTAAAATAATGCTGAATGCTTGGGTTTAACTCTTCTTGCACTTTATACTCATATACATTCTGTGTATACACTGTTTGTGCCTGTCTGCTCCTTCTTGTGTGCTACATATACTGGTGCCTGCAAAGAAATTGCCTTTCAAAGGATTGAGAAACCTTTAATTGACTTGACTTATTTCCAATTCTGTCATGTCAAAAATTAAAGCTGGGATTAGAAAACTGACCTTTGTCCGAATAAGGCGGGAAGAGTCAGAGTTCCCAGACTATCAGTAAATCTTAATAAGTTGATTATATTTGAGCATGTCCTATTATCACCAAAAGGATTAATTATTGCCTGGACAAAGAACATCTGAGGAGTGTCCTGTAGCAGGATATTAGTATTCAAACCTTTAGTTTTTTTTAGCTTGGTTGTTGTTTCTCAGACTAAACTTTAGGTTGTTCTGGATTTATAACAGTTTTTAAGTTCTGATGATAATTATCTTCACACTGTCCCATAATGAGAATGAATTCACATGTTGCTTTCACTGTCAGGCAGCTGCAACAGCATGCAACTAATGATATCAAAGGAGTGAAATCAAACTATATGGACACAATTACTAAAGGAGGGTGTACTTACTCTGCTCCTGAGCTCAAAAACCATTAAGGAGCGTTCAAATCTAGGACTGACCTATGACAGCCTTTCCAAAGAAGAATTTTTATCCAAACAGCAATTTCTAACCATTTTTTTTTTTTACCAGTGCCTTGCAGTTTTTTTTAAACTTAATTGCAATGGTTTTTATCTAAAGCCTACATTTGATCATTATCATAATTGCACTAATGTATTCTTCTAATGTGTCAGTTACTTCCTTTTTCTTTTACTGTCCTGTAAATCTACAAAACATGTCCTTGATTCAAGAACGGGATTCTTTAGTTGGTAATTCCTGTAATGTAAAAAGGTGTCATTTGAATAATCACTTTGCCTCTGCAATATATAGGAACAAAAATGTACTTTTAAGAAATAATAAAAGTGTCAGTCATTACAACTTGTTAGGATGCTGTTTAAAGATGTGTTATAATAAATATTCCCATATCCTCAGTCCCACTCTAATACTGTTTTTTTTGTTGTTTTTTATTTTTTATTTTTATAAAGCTTAGTCTTTCACTTGAGGTGTAAACACACAAATAACCACAACACTGAAGACAATAGTAAAGCTTTTTTATTTTTGAAAATCTTTGCATTTTAGCTTAGGTTTCTGTAATGTTTTTGACAACAAACTGAAAGTATCCTTAAAAACCCATAAAACTTTAAATGACATCTGAAATTTTCTCCACATCTCTGGCTTTATTTTTTCCCCCAAAAAACAGACTTTTCTTTGCAATACATATAATCATAGCCAAAAATAGTTGGAAATAGGTTTAAATGCATTACAGATGATTTTTTTTGTCACTATCAATTCTTTTAGGTGAACATAGACATACAATTCTTGAGCAAAATGTGTTTATGGTGATTTACTCTGCTTTTATTTTCTTTTTGGATTTCCTGCAGCAGAGAAACCTGCAGACAAAGACTGAACCCATGATGAAGATTCCAGTTATGGCCAAAAGAAAGGCTGCAACATCCAAACAGAAGTAGGAATACCAAGGCAGACTAAAACCTGCTGACTTCAGGTGAGCAGCTCCTTTGTTCCTGATGACATACTCTATCCAGAAGATGGCAGTGTCCATTGGAGACATTGGTTGGTCACGGTGTAGCTGAGAGAGATGTTGGATGTTTTTACGGTAAGATGGATTTTCTAAGATATCATTCAGAGCCTCCAGGAAAC